AAAATAAAAAATATAACTGCTGTTAAACACCGGAAAATCGCTATGGCGTCACTGGGCCACCATACACATGTTAGTCTTCAAGTAGATTTTGCTCTATTAAACGACTGTACATTTATTTTTACATGCAAAACGATCATCCACACCGTATCACAGACTAATGCACAATACATACAATACATCACAATGCCGCGTAATGTGCACACGGTATACTGTGCTACAGTCTGTAGTTTAATTTATTCCTCAGTCTGTGACCGGATTTTGTGGGATGTTTTTTTTCTACAAACAATAAAATAATAAAGACGATATAATTTCCATATTTTTTACTCAAATACTATTAATCACATTTATTGCTAAGAAGCTTAATCACAAGTGCTGGAGCTTCAGCAATTTACGATTCTGCTTGTTTCTAGGTTCGGAGTGCAGGAGGGTTACTGACTTCTATCAGAGATGGAACTGCATCCTTTCTTAGCCTCTTAAATTTTTTGACTTGCCTTTGTGTTTTTAATAAAGGTAGAAGGGATCGGGTGAAGGAATTATGGAAAATAAGGTAAAATACATACAGTTGAATTTTATATTAGCAAAATTATTCAGCATGTGTTGGTTTAGTTTTGATATTGCCATAAGCAATAATGATATACTTCAGTGCCCAGCAGTGAATATTTCTCAACCGTATTTTTCTGTTTATGTATATTTCATGAAATCAAGCCTGGTACATGTATAACAACCCATGAGTCACACGACGAGAAGCAGAGAAAGCAATGTATTTTACTAATTTCCCATACTAATAATAGTTCTACAGTTAGTAGTTGGTACAGCATATCACATTTCAAAGCAGCCATTTTAACCCTTGTCAGCTGGACACATAAATTGAGATGCCTCAAAATGATTCTCGCAAATTAGCAGATATTTGCATTGGCTGTCTTTTAACCCGTCAATGTGGGCTCTTGTTGTGTTGCAGATGTACTTCCGAAGTCCATCTCTCCACATGATCATCTACATGTGTCATGTAATGATGTGGTGTATTATTTACAAATTATAATGAATTATATATACAAATTATAATGAATAATAATGAATGAATGCTGGTATTTTTCACAGAACAAAGGGCAGCAGAATTACACAGATCACCGAACCAAGTAGTGTTTTCTCTAACTTTTAACTGTTAGCTTTACAAGATTGTATCTTGTATTAGTTTACATTGATATTATGAATACATATATTTAAACAATCAATAAGTACAGTCTCTGTTCGTGTGTACCGCAGTCAGTGAGTCACTGCATCTGTCACTGCCGTCCTAACGAATTTATTATTTGCAAACGTATATAACATGGAACACGTGATAAATCTAGTACCTATCATGCTCTGTGGGAAACTTGAAAAACGCTATATCTGGGAATATATCTAGAATATATTATGCAAATAATTCCCGTACCGGCTTGAATATAAACACCCCCATACTCTCTGTGAATATTGAGTTTATTGACGCACGATTAGTCAATATATTAGTAAATATATGCGCGCGGAAGTGAATTACAGATGATTAAATTTCTAAAATTCTAGATACCTATAGACACATGTCTTAGCTATAGTCTCTGTGAATATTGAGTTTATTGACGCGCGATTAGTCAATATATTAGCAAATATATGCGTACCGTAATCTCCCGCACCGGCTTGAATATAGACATCCCGATGTCATTTCATTCGCCAAGCGCAGCACCATCGAAACGCTTAACAAGCAGGGTATACGAAGTGTCCAATCTGTGTATCCGTTAGTCTGGGGTAACACTGGTGTCTGTGACGTATCAGCCTTTCCACAGGACACGAGAGTTTTCTCGTCTGTTCTCAGCAGACAGGTTCTCTGCCCTTCCAGTACGTCCGGGTACAGGAATAGAGCAAGGTGTCATTATCAATGTGTATCTGTGTGTGTGTGTGTGTGTGTGTGTGTGTGTGTGTGTGTGTGTGTGTGTGTGTGTGTGTGTGTGTGTGTGTGTGTGTGTGTGTGTGTGTGTGTGTGTGTGTGTGTGTGTGTGTGTGTGTGTGTGTGTGTGTGTGTGTGTGTGTGTGT